ACCGGCATACGTTGAGCAAGTGGCTCGGCTGGAGTTGCTTCTCTTCTCGTGGAGGAGACGGCAGACCTTGCACTGCAGCAGGTGGAGCTGAGCCTGGGTGCCGGCAGAGGGGATCCCACCCAGCAAGACTTTGGGCCTTGGTACACTTGTCCCTTCGTGCTGATCTAACTGACTGAAAAGTGGGGTGTAACATTTTGAAGGTGGACACAAGGATTTGTCAGTAGCAGTCCTGAAATGCTGAACTGATCTCTAACGCGAGGGAGCAACATTTCCTGAGGAATGAAAGCTCAATTTTGAGCACTATGGACCTAGAGTAAATGTCAAAGGCAGGCAGCAAGCAGCGTTTACAGAGGCATTTTTCTGGAATTTCAATCACGGATCGATTGAAGTGCCCAGGGTCTGAGAAAATGTCTCCTAGCATCAAAAACTTGGATTGCTTTTCTCCGATGCTGTGCCACTGTAAAGTAGCATGCACCAACAACACAATATCGTTAATGTTTGGATGTAAGGTGGGTCTGAAGAGGCTTTCCTAAAAACCCGAGCTTAATTTTTAATGTGTTGCTAGTGATTAAGTCGTCATGTCTAGGGAATGAGATACTAAGATTCAGATGACTTGGTATGCTTTTGTTCCATGTATTAGCTAGCCAGTTCTCAGTGGTCTCTGTGAATCTGACAAAAGTAACGAATGATATACCTATACTGTTCAGATGTTGTTCAAAAGGGTCTTTGGAATTTGGTGTACGTTGCATGTAATATGTCGTCATTCTTCATCAATCGGCATTAATCATGTAATCACTTTATTGCGCTTGGCTTTCATTTTCTTCAGCTGTAAAGAATTAAATACACAGGAGACTCCCATTGATATGCAGGGCTGGAAATGCCTTCTGACATCATATTGATGGAAGCAATTGTTAGTGGCAGTTTTGGGTTTAACAATGACCTCAGGCTTTTAGTTATTTTAGGTCTAATTCAACTGCTGGAATTATAGAGTAATAAAATAGATACAACTTGATAATTGTACTTGTGTTAAGAGAGCATTTTCAGGCTTTATTTCAAAATAACTTTAACAGTTAAATAGTTTTGCTCATTTGTTAAATAATATGAGAGTGCTTCAACAATTGAAAAAAAAAATGATGAAATATATAGGTAAAAGTTACTTTTCAGGTGCAGATTTTAATTAATTTAGAGCATTTAACATCCAGTTAGAAAACACCAGTTTGTGGTTTGATGTATTAAAACAACATTTAAATAAATTAATTTACAACCAGAAGTAGCTATTTTATGCCTCCTTTGTAGACACACGTGTAGACACGTATCCATGACAGCAGGTTGATGTAGGCTGGTACGATTTGTGGGGTACTTCGTGAAATGCAGTGTGTTTGTTACAGCTGAGGAAAAACACAGCTCGAATGTCTGAGAATTTTGTATAGCATGAATGTAAATTTAGATTACTGGCTTAATTTACTTATCTAAATATAATCTGTAGTTTGGATGTATTCAGTTCCAGGATGCAGTGATGCGTTCCGTTTTTCTTCTATCCACATCTTTTGCATTTGCCTGAGAACTGTAAAAAACGTAGTGAAATGGTAAATGCAAGTCTGGAGCAGACACTGTGTAATTCTTCTGTGGCCCTTAAAAAAACAAAAAATGTAACAAAAACCCCCAACGTTTCTTATACCACATTCTGTAATACATAGTAGCTCAGGAACGGTGCTGGACAGTTTCAGAGGGAAAAACATTTTTTAATAGTGAAAAGCGACTGTGTAAAAATAGCAGGTAATAAAAGGTATCTTGAGAGAGAAAAATAGAAGATATCCTTTTTAAGGTAGTTATTTCTTCTTGGAGATGATTGGTGGTAGCAGTTTTACTGTACATCCATATATCTGTGCATCTGTATTTTTGTAACCATACATCAAAAGAATTATTAACACACAATTAACTTGTCGAGCGGCACAGATTCCCAGGGCGCCGCGCAAACTTGTACTTGCTTGAAGGGGATGAATGGCTGTGTGAACAGAGCCCGGGCTGGTGCTAGGATCAGTGATTGCAGGCTCACCCGGGAGTTGTACCCGGCACGGTGGCCGTGTGTGAAAAAGAGAGGAATGTTATTAGTGCTTCCCCACTGCTTTGTGGTCTTGCTGCTCAAGTTTTGGAAAAGGAAATGGAGGCTGTGACCATCTGCAGCGTCAAGGTCTCCAGACACGGGTGGAGGGTCACGGTTGCCCCCTGGTGGGACAACAGCAGAGAATGCACGTGAGCGATTTCTGCTGAACATTTGGGCCCTTGGTGTGGGGAGCAGCGATGCTGCTAACGTGCAGGGCATTGCTGCGCGGCTGTGCGCCTGCTTCAAAGACTCTTTCATTAAAATGTAACCAGTAGCAGCATTTTTATAACATTTTGAATGCCGTTTGGCTTTCCTGTGTTAGGCACTTAGACTGAAGCAAATTTGAGAGAAATATTTTCCCAACTGTCACGTTTTTATTATAATTTGTTCTCGTATTGGCAGACATAAGTCTTTTTATTCCCTTTTTAAGGCACAGTTGTTTACAAGTACTGACACAGCACATACATCCTGTATTGCAGTCAAGCAGATCCTGAATGCGCTGAATATTTTTAGATGGCAGATAAGAATAGTTGAAATGAATGCACAGAGAATGCAGAACTGATGTGATATGGACTTTTTAACATGGGACTGTTGTGAAATACTGAAAAGGTTAAAGCTTAACTTGGTTTCTTAAATATAAAAATAGCATTATTTTCAAGCATAATGTACTTCAAATATTGTAGCTTATCAGAAAGTTGAAGGGTTAATATTTAAATGACTCTATACCGAACAGCTGCATCTGGTGCAGCAAGGGAGGACAAGCTGTTCAGTCCCTCACACACAGAGCAGACTGCGCTGTGAGAATCAACAACTATTATAGTAAATGAAAGTTTGCCATTTTTTGTGTTTCTTTCCCTCCATGTGACCAAATACCTTTTAAGACAATGTATTGTTCTGTGGTCCATTTACAATTTGGTACGCATTTGCTAGTAATAAAATTCTAGACTGAGGGAGATGTCCCATATAAATATTGATGCCTTTGTAATTATATATGGCATTTTGTTTCTTAGCTGAAGTAAAATTTCAATATTTCAGTGGATTTAGCCATTCTTTCTCTACCAACAATCAATTTTGTGAGTGTCTTGATGTATAACGATGGAACAGAGTTCCCTAAATAACATAGGAGGTTTACTCAGTTCTGTTCCAAGTATGCAATATTAAACTTTGAAAATTTACATTTAAAAATGTCCAAGCACAAGAAGTTGCTTCAGTTGTCTGTGCTGGTTGATGTTGTTGACTTAGACATTTCCCTTTCTTCCAGTTAAGCTGTTAAAGGAAATCACTGTTCTTTCACTTGAAATCAAAAATGTGTGTACATTGGGCCAGATGCAGTGCACCCGGGGGTGCTGAGGGAGTTGGCTGACGTAATTTCAGAGCCACTGGCCATCAGCTTTGAAAACTCATGGTGATTGGGGGAGGTCCAGGATGGTTGGAGAAGGACAAACATAGTGCCCGTCTGCAAGAAGGGGAAGGAGGAGGATCCAGGGAACTACAGACCAGTCGGACAAACCTCAGTCCCTGGAAAAATCATGCAGCAGATCCTCAAGGAATCCATTTCTAAACACCTGGAGGAGAAGCAGCGATCGGGAACAGTCCGCATGGATTCACCAGGGGCAAGTCATGCCTGACCAACCTGACTGCCTTTATGACAAGGCGACTGGCTCTGTGGATGTGGGGAGACCGGGGGATGTGGTGTACCTTGACTTTAGCAAGGCTTTTGATACGGTCTCCCACAGCGATCTCGCAGGCGAGCTAAGGAAGTACAGGCTGCATGAATGGACTGTTAGGTGGATAGAAAACTGGCTGAAGCATCAGCCTCGGGGAGTAGCAGTCAATGGCTTGATGTCTAGTACACAGCCGGTATCAAGTGGAGTGCTCTAGGGATGGGTCCTGGGGCCAATTTTGTTCAGTGTCTTCATCAATGACCTAGAAGATGGGATGGATGCACCCTCAGCAAGTGTGCAGATGACACCAAGCTGGGGGGAGTAGTAGAGATGTGGAGGATAGTAGATAGGGCTAGGATTCAGAGAGACCTCAACAAATTGGAAGATTGGGTCAGAAGGAATCTCAGGAGGTTCAACAAGGACAAGTACATGCACCGGTGCAGGCTGGGGGTGACTGGCTGGGCAGCAGCTCTGCATAAAGGACCTGACAGTGGGCAATAAACTGAATAAGAGCCAGCAGCGTGCCCTTGTTGGCAAAAAGGCCAATGCCATCCTGGGCTGCATTGGTAGGAGTGTTGGCAGCAGGTGGAGGGCAGTGATTCTTCCCCTCTATTCAGCACTGGGGAGGCCACATCTGGAGTCCTGTGTCCAGCTGTGGGTCCCCCACTACAGAAGGGATGTGGACATATTGGGGAGAGTCCAGCGGAGGGCAATGAAAATGGTTTGTGGGCTGGGGCAAATGACTTGTGAGGAGAGGCTGAGGGAAATGGGCTGATTTAGTCTGGAGAAGAGAAGACCGAGGGGGATTGAACAGCAGCCTTCAGCTCCCTGCAGGGGGGCTGCAAAGAGGATGGAGCTGGGCTGGTCTCAGTGGGGGGCAGATGACAGAACAAGGAGCAATGCGCTCAAATTGCAGTAAGGGAAGTTTTAGTTGGATATTAGGCAAAAATGTTCTCCCTAGGAGGGTAGTAAAGCATTGGAACAGTCTACTGAGAAAGGTGGTGTGGGGACTCTCCATTCTTGGAGGCTTTTAAGGCCCAGCTAGACAAAATCTTGGCTGGGATGATCTAGCTGGGGCTTGGGGTTGGACTAATGTGACCTCCTGAGGTCCCTTCCAACCCTCATTTTCTATGATTCTATGAAATACAGAATGTTGCAAATGTTAAAATCAAGCGATTTGAACTGTTTTGGCAAAGATTGTCAGGGGTTGAGGCATGTTTTTTGCATTTTCTTGTATGGTGACTAGGTACAGAAATGCAGTCTAGATATGTGTTGAAAACACTGAAACCCATCATTATCATCATCTTGATTGAGGGCTTTTTGCAGAGTCAGCGCCTAGCCTCCTATTGTCTTGGTTTTATAATCTGTCCAAACTGCTTTAGGCTAAAAATTTTCAAGTCGCATGGACAAATAGGAAATACTGGAGAAGAGTAAATGTGCTTCTTGTAGAGGGCAGTCCTGCCTAACCAGTCTGCTGGAGCTCTTTGAGGGTATTAAGATGGACAAGGGGGATCCAGCTGAGATGATCCACTTGGATTTGCAAAAAACGTTTGACCAGGTCCCTCACCCAAACCCTCTTCAAAATACTGAGCTGCCACAGGATTGGAGGGAAGGTTCTTTTGTGCAGTGAGAAAAGGGAGAACCTTGTGAAATCTCCAGGCTTGCAGGTGATACTATATTATCCTGGGTAATTCAATCTCAAGTTGATAGAAAGGAGCTGCAGAAAGATCTTAGCAAGCTA